GAAGGAGCGAAATGAGAGATTTAAATAAAAACAAAAACAGAATTTCTAGAGATGAAAAATATTATGGGTGAAATGCAAACACACTGGCCAGTAGATAAGAAATAGCAGGAGAAGAGATGAGCCTCTGAAGATACAATAGCAGAAATAATACAAATTAAGCATAGAGAGAGGGACAAAGCAAACTGCTCTCTAAATTCTGACTCACAGGAAAATTGAGATCATAAATGTTTTAAACCATTAAATTTCACAGTGCTTTCTTTGGCAACAATAGATAACTGATAGAGCTATCTACAGGACACTCATTTTAATGATAATGACAAAAATGAGTTAATAATAAAAGAAAAGATAGAGATAAACATTAATCAAAAGAAAGCTGGACTGGATATATTAATATCATACAGAGTAAACACTGAATAATTGATGAAAGTATCAGTTTTTCAAAGGAAGCATAAATGTACATGCAATAAACAGGAGTTTCAAAATACCTGAAGCAAAAACTAACATAAGGGAAAGGATAAAAAAACTAATAAATAAAGGAGGATGAAAGGAAAGAAAGAGAATAAATTCATTCATTTTCAATAAGTGAATATTGAAATAAAGGATTTTTTTATTAAATTGACTGACTATGCAAATACAAAACCAGTATATGTCAAAGATATTTAAAACACTATCAAACAAATTAATCTATTTGGGATTTATGAAACACTCCACCCAACAATATTAGCGTATAAAGCTGTTCTCATGCTGCTGATAAAGATATACATGAGACAGGGCAATTTACAACAAAAAGAGATTTAATGGACTTACAGTTCCACATGGCTGGGGAGGCCTCACAATCATGGTGAAAGGCAAGGAGGAGCCAGTCACATCTTACATGGATGGCAGCAGGTAAAAAGAGATCTTGTGCAGGGGAACTCTTCATAAAACCATCAGATATCATGAGACTTATTCACTATTGCAAGAAAGACCTGCCCCTACAGCACAAGAAAGACCCCCTCCTTCATAAAACCATCAGATATCATGAGAATTATTCACTATTGCAAGAAAGACCTGCCTCTACAGCACAAGAAAGACCTGCCCCCAAGATTTAATTACCTTTCCCTGGGTCCCTCCCATGACATGTGGGAACTGTGGGAGTTACAATTCGAGACGAGATTTGGGTAGGGAGTCAGCCAAACCATATCGTTCTGCCCTTGCCTTCTACCAAATCTCATGTCCTCACATTTCTAAATCAATCCTTCCTTCCCAACAGTTCCCCAAAGTCTTAACTCATTTCAGCACTAACTCAAAAGTCCAGAGTCCAAAGTCTCATCTGAGACAAGACAAGTACCTTTGGCCTATAAGACTGTAAAATTAAAGCAAGCTAGTTACTTCCTGGATACAATGGAGGTATAGGCATTGGGTAAATACAGCCATTCCAAATAGAAGAAATTGACCAAAACAAAGGCAATACAGGCCCCACACAAGTCCAAAATCTGGCAGAGTAGTCAAATATTGAAGCTCCAAAATGATCTCCTTTTACTTCATGTCTCACATTTAGGTCATGCTGAAGCAAAAGATTGGTTCCCATGGCCTTGAGAAGCTCTGCCCCAGTGGCTTTGCAAGATACAGTCTCTCTCCTGGCTGCCTTCTTGGGTTGGCATAAAATGCCTCTGGCTTTTACAGGTGTGCAGTGCAAGCTGTCAGTGGATATCTCATTCTGGTGTCTGGAGGATAGTGACCTTCTTCTCAAAGCACCAGCAGGCAGTGCCCCAGTAGGGACTCAGTGTGGGGGCTCTGACTTCACATTTCCCTTCTGGACTGCCATAGCAGAGGTTCTCCATGAGGCCCCAACCCATGCAGCAAACTTCTGCCTGGGCATCCAGGCGTTTCCATACATCATCTGAAATCTAGGCAGAGGTTCCCAAAATCTAATTATTGACTTCTGTACACTTGCAGACTTGATACCAAATGGAAGCTGCCAAGGCTTGGGGCTTGCACCCTCTAAAGCCATGGCCCAAGCTCTATGTTGGCCCCTTTCAACCACAGCTGGAGCAGGTAGGACACAGGGCACCTGGTCCCTAGACTGCACATAGCACTGGGACCCTGGGTCTGACCCATGAAATCATTTTTTCCTTCTGGGCCTCCAGTCCTGTGATGCAAGTGGCTGTTGTGAAGACCTCTGACTTGACTTGGAGACATTTCATCCATTGTCTTGGTGTACATTTGGCTAGTTGTTACTTATGCAAATTTCTGCAGCTGGCTTGAATTTCTCTCCAGAAAATGGGATTTTCTTTTTTATCATATTGTCAGGCTGCAAATTTTCTGAACTTTTATGCTGTGCTTCCCTTATAAAACTGAGTCTTTAACAGCATTCAAGTCACCTCTTGAATGCTTTGCTGCTTAGAAATTTTTTCCATGAGATACCCTAAATCATCTCTCTCAAGTTCAAGGTTCCAAAATTCCTAGGACAGGGACAAAATGCCACCAGTCTGTTTGCTAAAACATAACAAGAGTCTCTTTTGCTCCAGTTCCCAACAAGATTTTCTTCTCCATCTGAGACCATCTCAATGTGGATTTCATTGTCTATAACCCTATTAGAATTTTGGGCAAAGCCATTCAAAATTTATCTAGGAAGTTCCAAATTTTCCACATTTTTCTGTCTTCTTCTGAGCCCCACAAACTGTTCCAACCCTGTCCTGTTACCCATTTCCAAAGTTGCTTCCACATTTTTGGGTATCTTTTCAGCAGCTCCCTACTCTATTGGTAAAAATTTACTGTATTAGTCCATATTCACACTGTTAATAAAGACATACTCAAGACTGGACAGAAAGAGGTTTGATAAACTTACATTTCCACATGGCTGGGGAGGCCTCTCAATCATGGTGGAAGGCAAGGAGGAGCAAGTCATGTCTTACATGGATAGCATTAGGCAATGAGAGAGATCTTGTGCAGGGGAACTCTTCTTTACAAAATCATCAGATCTTGTGAGACTTATTCACCATCATGAAAACAGCATGAGAAAGACCTGCTCCCATGATCCAATTACCTTTCGCTGTTGCCTCCCATGACACATCGGAATTGTGGGAATTACAGTTCAAGATGACATTTGGGTGGGGACACAGCCAAACCATATCAAACAGAATACACATTCTTTTCAAATGCACATGGAAGATTTTCTAAAACAGACCAGATTTGGGGAAGACAAGTCTCAATACATTTAAAGAAATTGAAAGTATACACAAATGTTCACAACGTATCCCCATTACTGAATATATATCCAAAGAAAGACAAATCAATGTTAGAGAGGTATCTGCACTCCCCTGTTTATTGCAGCACTATTCACAAGAGCCAAGATAAGGAATCAACCAAAGTGCCATATGCAGATGAATAAAGAGAATGTGGCATGTATACATACACATATATGTATACACACATACATTGTGTGTGTATGTGTGTATACATACACAACATGGATGTGTATATATATTCACATACACACTTGTATGTGTCTAATATATGTGTGTGTTTGTGTGTGTGAGTGTGTATAAATGCACACAATGGAATACTATTTAGCCATAAAATATAATGAAATCCTGCCACTTGGGTAACAACATAGATGAACCTGGAGTGTGTTATGTTAAGTGAAGTAAGCCAGGCACAAGAAGACAAAGACTCTGTGACCTAACTTATTTGCGAAATCTAAAATAGCTGAATTCATAAAAGCAGAGAGTAGAATAGTGATTACCAGAGGCTGGGGAAGGGAGATGGAAGCTGTGTTGGTAAGAGGTACAATTACAATTAGACAGGAAGAATAAGTTCTTGCAGTCTATTGCACATTAGGGTGCCTACAGTTAATAACAATGCAGTGTATATTTCAAGATATCCTGAAGAGATTCGGAATGTTATCACCACAAAAAACTGTTTAAAGTGACAGATATGCTAATTATTTTAATTTGATAATTGTTCAATGTATACACATGCATTGAAATATCACACTGTACCCCATACATATGTAAAATTGTGTCAATTATAAATAAAAATAATTTTAAGAGAAATTAGGAAAAAAGGGCAACTAACCCAAAAGTAAGCTATAAAAACCCAATTAGGCAAAAAGTAAACAGAACAAAAATGATAAAAGTAAAAGTAAAAATCAATGAATAAGAAAAAAATAGAAACAAATGCTGGTCCTCCAAAAAGATCAATAATATATACATTCTTCTAGCTAATAGATCAAGAAAAGAGAACAGACATTATTAATATCATGAATGAGACAGGTGTCACATCACTAAAGATTCTAAAGGATAATGGTATATTTTAAAAAAAGAAATATGCCAATAAATTTGACAGCAGATGAAATCAAAGAATGCCTTGAAATACAGAATGATTCTACAATCTCTCATCAACTGCTCCCCAAGCATCATGCCTAAATTTGCAACATATCCATCTTGTAAGCTGTGATTCCATATTTCAAGTATATTTCTCATGCTTATCACTACTTTGGATTCTTCTTGCATTTGCACCATCAAGACAGTACACTCCTGGGAACTTCAATGGCTTATAATTTTGTCGATGAGAGGACAATTTCCGTATCTGGTCAAATGAGTTTAGCCAGAATTCCCCAACCTCCATATCTGATCCTTCAATATCTGATCAAATTTCTCACTCACCACTATCTCCCAGGTAACAGCTAATCACCTTGGCCTACAATCAGTAAGAATCCTTTTAAGTCAGTTTAGCAAAATATTATCCGACCCTCTTAATGATTTTTCCATCGGCTAACTTGCATTCTCCTCCTTGGCCATAAATTCCAACTTTGTTGCATTCAGCACTGAGAACAATCTCTTCTATTTCAATACCCCATGGCAGTAGTCCCTTGAAATCCCTTGAATAAAGTCTAACTTGCCATCTTTAACAAGTCTTATAATTTTTTCTTTAATAGATTTTTCTGCTGTGACTTTTATAGGACCAAATTCATTATTTGACCCCCAATCTTCTCACTCAAAATTCCAACCACGTACCTTTGAAGCTTTTGTCTTCACTTCTGATTGATTGATGGATCAGCCATTGGTGATTTTGACTCCTGAGCCAGTGCTCCAAATGACAGTCTGTTGAAGCACAAATTGAGGGCAGAAAGAGTCTGAGTACACTACACAGAGGCTGAGTTAGTCCTAAGTTACTTTTTGTAAGACGTTGGTTTAGTCACATGCTTCTTTGTTAGGAAGCTACTGGCTGGTTTATAAGTCTTACTCCCTATTTCTGTCTTTGAGTGGGAATTTACATCTTGAATCCTTGAACTGAAATATTTTCCTTGGTTCTTTGTGAGGCATCTGTGTTCTGTTTGATCCTGTGTCTCCCACGGTAATTTTTCAGTCAACTGAAAGCCCCTTCTTAAACCCTTACTGATTATATACTCCATTACTGTCCGCTTCCTTTCTTGTGGTCATGATTTTGCTGAGGATAATTTGAGACTTCAGAATCTCTTTGGGAAACTGAAGATTTCCCCGAAGTGAGTCCTCGAAGATCTTTCCCTTCCCATTCTTTCTGCTCCTCCTTCATCCATTTACTACCTTCAATCTTCCCTTCAGCTTTCTTGAATCTTTTGATATATGCCTCTTCAGACCTCTTTCCTCTGTCTACCTGTCCTCCCAGACATCTTTCCTTCCTGCTGCAGCCCTTCAGTCACTTGAACTTCAGGTCTCCTATTTCCCTCATAACTTTCAAGGGACTCTAGGACCCCAAAATTGAGATTGAGAAGGGAAAAAAATACTGATTGAAAAATAGATTAGATATTTTATCCAGATGAGGCTTGAGAGACAGCCAGAGAGGTGCTTGATGTTCCTTCAGTTTCTTGCCTAAAATGTAGTCACAGGCTCCATAAATTGCACATATGGGCCAAAAAAAAAAAAAAGAAAAAAATCTTAAATGTCTTCTCCACAAATACTGGCTAAAAGCTTTAGCCCTCATACTGAGAAGGTAACCTTAACTTCTTCCATCTGTCAGAAACACAATGGATAAAACTATGAAGTAGAGGAAATAAGAGAGTGTATTACTGTGTTGTCTCACTTTTAGCTAAAGTTTTAAAGCAAAAACCTTTAAGCTCTCTTATTATATATGTATATATTACATTTATATATATGCAATATATATTCAATGTATGTATATTCTATATATACATATGAATATGTATATATAAATATATATTTATATAGAATATGCACATATATATAGAATATACATATATTCCATTCTATGTATATATGGAATATACATATATCCCATTCTCTCTATATATAGACTATATATTACATATAAATGTATATGTAATATACATGATTATTTATCATAATATATATGATATTTCTTTATGAATGGTATTATCAAATGACTTAGTATTTTCTTTTTTTTTGAGACAGATTTTCACTCTGTCACTCAGGGTGGAGTGCAGTGGTGCAATTACAGCTCACTGCAGCCTCAGATTCCTGGATTCAAGCAATCCTCCTGCCTCAACCTCCCAAGTAGCTGTGTGCAACTATGCCCAGCTAATTTTCAATTTTTTTTTTAAGGGATGTGTCTCACTATGTTGCCTGGGCTGATCTAGAACTCCTGGGCTCAAGCAATCGTCTTACCGTTGTCTCCCAAAGTGTCGGGATTACAGGGGTGAGACTGGCCTAAAATGTCTTAACTTCCATTCCAATTGTCAGAGATAAATGTGTGTTTATATAAGGTAAATATTTCTAAAACTTCCAGAAACTAATTCAGATGCTATTTCAAATTCACATGAAATGGGCATATATTTGACAATTAAAACTAGTTTCATATTGTTGGTTTCATAAAAACAGCTACATTCTCTGGTATATCAGCATTAGGTATAATATGAACATACATTTTTATTCTACTTGGGCTTACTAGTTGAATCAAGTAATATGTTGTCCAGATGCTTAGGATTACAAAAATTATACATTTGACATTAGAATAAATGTACAAGCAAAGATGCAGTAAAGAAGAGTTGCTTAGTGCCCATTGCTTCATATTTCTCAAGCATAGTCATAAAACAAAAAACCTGCATGTTTAACTTCTTTGGCTTTTGCTTTTGTGATGTTTGCCTAATCTGATGATGTACTATAAAGATAGTTAACAGAGAAGTAAATTAAGATTATGGCTGTCTTTGCCTGGTGTTACTATATGGTTGCTGAAAACAGTTTCCAAATTATTTTTGTTAACTTGAAGCTTTAATGTTTTTCTAAGCTAAATTAAGTAGTAGATATTCATTAAATATCTAGGTCATTTCTAAGTAAGATGAACTACTAAACCATTCATTATTCAGCATTACTTTTAATTTTATATATTTTGTTTGCATCTTATTTTTAAAGTGAGACTAAACATATTGGACCTGTTAATAAACATGTTATTTTGTCACACAGAAATTGTGCTATGAGGAAGCATGGACCTATACGAAACTGTAAGATGATTTGCTAGTCTGCTACATAATGCAAGACAGACATTTTACAGTTTTCTTCTTCCTAATTTTCTCTGTTAAGAGAAGTATTAGTAGTAGTCAAAAACTATCATCAATATATGTAATTAAAACTACAAGCATGAAGAAAAACATCTTTGTATGTAGATTATGCAAAGAAAGTATGATATTTTTAAGGAAAATAATGTAAGGTATGAATATATTTTTGTTAAGGTAAAGAGAAGGTAATTTTGACCTGAAGTAAAATGATTAGTTATGCCAGAATCAGAAGAGAAGGAGAAGAAGAAGAAGAGAGGAAGAGGAGGAGGAGGAGGAGGAGGAGGAGGAGGGGGAGGAGGAGGAGAAAAAGAGGAAGAAAAAACAAGCCCCAGTGCTTTAATAATACAAAACTAGATTTTTTTTTCTATTGAAAATGCCAGTTGTCTTGGATTGCAGTAAAAGTCCTTTTGTTTGTTTGTTTTACCTTTCAAGCAATCTTCCTAGGAAAGCAAGATTTTGTTTCTTATCAAGATAGTTTTCTGTGTTTATGTTAACCTTAGCCATGGCCTTGATTATTTAAGCCAATGGAGAGCTTGCAACTTAAAAAGCACTAAAGTGTTTTACATGTTTTAGAGTGTTGCCTTTTCAAAATCAAATCTTAAAATCTTGTTCTTGAACTGTTCTTGAGATTTCTTAAAGGGGCCCTGAAAAATTTGCATTACTATAGAAGTTTTATTATCAATTGTCAATTTTGACAAAAACAAACTAGAATTTTTATTAAAAATGTGCTGGGTCTATAAATTATCGTACAATAGACTTACCAATTTCTACTAAAAACTGTTTAGAACTTGAGAATTTGCTGCATGTACAAATTATTTGAATCTAAAAATACATTTTTCTGAACATGGTATTTATTAACATTTACTCAGGTCATCTTTAATTTGACTGAGCAATGTTTTTATTTTTCAGTGATGTTGACATCTTTCATGCCTTATAAATTTTAGCCCTAATAATTTTATCTTTTTTTCTATTATTATAAATGCTTTTTGTAAACATGTTTGGTGCTACTACACAGAAATACAATTTATTTTTATATATTGATGCCTTGAATCCTGTGACCTTGTTAAATTTAACCATCATGTTACTGACAAGCAAAAAACAGTTCTAATACTTCTTTTCCAGTCTCTAAGACTTTAACATTTTGTTGCTTTACTGTTGCCTTATTGCAGTGGTAATAAGTAAATGGGCTTCCAGTAAAATATTAGATAGAAGTTATTAAAACAAACCTCTTTGCTTTGTTATGTTAAGAAGAAAGCATTAATTATTTCAACATAAGTTGTGATGACAGCTGTAGTTTTCTTACTGATACACCTTATCACCCTGAGGACATTTCCTTCTGTTACTGGATTGATAAGGTTCTATATTGAGAATAAGTGTTGAATTTTGACGAATATTTCTTCTCCATCTGTTGAATTGATGAAGTTTTCTTTTCCTTTATTGTGCTATATGATGGATAGTACTCACTGATTTTGTACTTTAAACCAAATAGAAGTATACATTAAGACATTATATAATTATTTTCATATACCGTTGGAATTGATTGCTAAGATTTTCTTTCTGCATTTTTGTTCTTCAGAAATACTGATATGTAATTTTCTTTTTTTATTTTCCAATATCTTTTGCTATTGGAGTGCCAATCTCAGATAAACCTTCAGTCTAGAGCTAATTTTGCCTTACAGCTAAGGCAATACCTTTCTGAGTACTCTATCTGATGACCTGCATATTACAAACTTTTTCATTTTAGTTAACAGAAATAAGAATTAGTATTCTTTTTGTGTGTGTTCTAAAAGACATTACAACTGTTCCTTTCTAGTGATCCTTCAGTAGTTCTGAATAGTTTCTTCACATACATGCAATGATTTTTGCTCAGATATAAAATAATCCCTTTCTCTCTCTCCTTTTCTGCAGTTGAGTTTTCCATGTAGCTTTCTCCTCTGTAGTATCTGCTTGTGAATTCTAGCCACTGAAGAATCCCAAATATCTTAGCTATGTGTCTTCAACTCAGAGAGATCAGTTGTCTCTTCGAGTTCATGCTCCTTGTATTGCAACCCAGAAACTCTAGGCAGTAAGCCATGACAATAACCTCATTTCTCACCCCCCATCAGGAATCATTGCCTTGTTCTGCCTGTTTTATAATATCTATATTTTGTTTTATTTATATTAATTCTACCTTTATAGTTGTTTAAGGATAGCGATAGAGCTGATATCTATTTCTCCATCATAGTAGGAAGCATCTTTCTGGTTACAAGATTCTTTGCCTACATGTTCTTTTCTATATTTTCTTGAAAAACATTGCTTCATTATTGTGTTGCTTTCTATGTTACTACTGAAAAATCTAATCCTATCTGGTTTTCTTTCTATTATAAATGACTTAGCAAATGTGAATGAGTTGGTTGTGTAGCTTAGAGGCTTGCGGAATATTTTGTCTCTAAAATGGAATCATATATGTCTTGGAGTTATCCATTCTTGGTCAAGTACTCAAGAATTACTAAAGAAATTCACAAAACCCACTCTTGATCACTTGATATTTAATTGCATATTTAATTTTAAATGGAAAGGGAATATCGTGTAAGAATAATGCATAAATGTTAC